AGGCAAAGCTGCATTGAATTTACAATTTTGCAATAAAAGATAATTATTTTGACTAATGACCACAACATTCTTTTACTGAGAGAAAGAATTTGATGCAATAGCATAAGGCTGATACATTTTTGAAATACATTCCACCTGTAAAACCTGGTTTGAACAGATTTCGCTGAAATCAACAGAGATTTATTAGACTTATTTCTGTCCTTATTTTTGCAACCATTAACTGATTAACACTGCTATACTAAGCTTGTTAAATTACATGTTTCTTTAGCCCGTCAAACCTGATTTTAATGGCCTATAAACAGAACTCAGGCAATTCATAAATCCACTTAGTGACAGCTTATCTTTACAGATGGTCACAGCTTAAAATAATCTTCTTTAAAACATTTTTTGAAGATTTCATATCCTTCTTTAAAGGAACTTACAAATAATTTATGAATGAGACATTGATGATTTATGATGTGTAGTGTAACCTTCAGTATCTCAATGAGAAAAATAAGGCCACCTTGTCTACAATAGCTGCCCTGTTTTTTTTCACTGACAATGCTATGTCGGTTGCCGTTTTCCTTTCTAATATGATGGAGTTTGGAAGCTAAAGTTATACTTCTCACTTGCTTTTTAAACATTTGAACCAACATTTAATTTTTGGACAGAGTCTTAGACAATTGTGGAAAGGATGCAGTGCAACGTTCCAACAGCATACATTTGCACACTTATACACGGCATATATGTGCTTCTCACCTAGACGTTTAATAGAAGGGTTCAGGCAAGTCATAAAGTTATAGCTTACTTAACCCTTTTTTCTTGACTAAGCCCAAATTGTCTGGATTTGCATGAACCTAGGAAGTCAATACAAGACCAACATGGTAATTCAACAGGCTTTGAGAATGAGGCCATTGTTTAGTGATTTCAGGGATTTTATTAGTGCATCTTTCAACATCTTTTTAAAAGGCACCTATTGCATCTAGCAATATCTGTACTACTATCTATACTAGAGAAAAGCTGCAGAGAAAAAGGACTGCATTACAATTCTTTATGAACCTGTCATCATAGGCAGAAAAGGCTGTCTTTCTTTTTCCTATAGTTAGTGGAAAACTTCCCAATAGTTCTTAAGATTTTATACTCAAGTCCAAACCAAACATATGTTCTCATCAGCTACTAGTTAGTGGAAGTGGCTCACGGATTATTTGAATCATGAGAGTTCGGTTGATTTATACTGACATAAAACAGCACCACCCAATCGGATATATGCTTTGCATTTGGAACAATATGAAATTCCAGGATCTGTATAACCAAGCAAGCTCAAAAGATTGCTTTCCTGTCTTTGATTTCGGTGGATAGCATACCCTGTGAAAATGTTCTGCCAATAACATAGATACAAATATAAAGAAAACTTGTACATTCTCCCAAGTACGATTCCAGGGGTGACTTTCAAGGATCGCTGCAATATAACCATATTACTTTTATTTTTTAAACTGTTTAACTTTAGTTCTATTACTCTTCCTCCCAAAGGAGCAGAGAGAAAGTCATTTATAAGAGAACAATGAAAATAATCTAATGCAGAACCATCAACAATAAAACTAAGACTCATCTAGTTCAGGCCACCTTATTATTCCCAGAGTGGAGAGCCTCTGTCTTTGCTGTGTACCTAACCTTCTAGGCAGCTATCAGGCATTTGCATACTCTCTCCTAATTCAGATAGAGAGGAGAAAAAGACATCCCACTGCAAATCTTTGGAGGACCAGAGTGGAAGAGGAAGGACAGCATACTGGGGGACCCCACAATTCAACTGCCATGGGGCCAAATGGAAGTTGGTCCTGCAGGTAGGAAGAAGCCAACACAATGTAGTGGCTCTGGCTTCCAACCTGCTGAGTTGCTCCTGCAGTACCCCATGTTCAGTGGTGTCACAAACTACTGAGAGCTCCAGGCAATACGTGTCTTTCCCCATCTCCCTCCCAGTTGAGGTCATTGGTCAGGCAGCCAAGTCTAAGCATCTCTTAAATGGGCTGTGTCCTTGGAGTGGCTGGCAAACATTAATTAGTTTTCCAGGTAGAAAAATATTTAACCATGTGCATGCCTCAGCACCTTAGAAGACTTTTCGCTAGAGTATGGTTTGAGCAACTTGATTTTATGGGAGGATATGGGAGGTTTTGCAGAAAAATTGTGCGTATGTGGTGCTCTGGCTGTTGAAGACATCACATATATCCTGTTCTCTTGTAAACTATAGTTTGCGGTAAGGGCTGATTGCTTAGGTCCTTTCTTAAAATCGAAGACATATGGGGACATTCAGAATATATTGACAAACTTTTTGCAGGGAACAAACTTTACATTATTAGGCGGCCAGTGCTGTTTATATCAAAGATCATCCAGAAAAGGATGGATCATGTAGAACAGCTTGGGGTTGATGGCAAGGGTGATGATATGATATGAATATGTTCCTTTTTCTCAGTACTGTTTATGATTTCTTGATATGGTCAAATGACTAATCAATAAATTGGTTGTTGTTGTTGTTGACTGTTATAGTGGTGTATCCAGGCCTAAAGCTAAACTGAAATGGATCCAGATGTATATTAGCTTTATACCAGGTTATCAGTCCCAACAACCCCTGTGGGACTGTGGTTTGTCTGGCATCCCGATCATTTTCTGATTGAGATTTCCAGTGAGTTTAACATATCTGCATGTCTCTAGAGGGAGAGAGTATTGATGTAGCACTCTTAAAGATGTAGTGCTGCTAACTTTTCATTCTATAGGTAGGCCACTTCAAGCTGG